TCCCCGTTCAGGCACGAGCCGTCGGTGAAGACGAAGGACCCGTCGGGCACCACCAAGATGCCGTCCCCCCACCCGCAGGATCGCCGCGCCCAGCTGTCATCCCAGGCTGGCCTGGCCACAAGGAGGCTGATGTCGGCGAAGGGCCCCTGACTGAAGAGCTCGTCGAAGGGGGGCCCCATGCGGTGGGCCTGCTCCGCTGCCTGTCTCACCCGGTACGGGCAGTAGTCCCGCCTCCAGGCCGCCCAGGCTGGGCACACGTGGTGCCTGTGGTGCATCGTCCCAGGGGCGGCGCCGCAGAGCCTGCAAAGCGGGTCGATCTCTCGCCCATGCCTCGCCAGTCGGGCCTGGGGCCAGCTGGCAAGCGACGCCAAGCGTCTCAAGCAGCCTTTGTGGTGAGCCGTCCAGGTTTCCGACTCCTTAGCGCCGAGGAGCTGGTTGATCGGCGTCCACCACGGCGGCAGCCGCCACTGCCAGAAGGTCTCGGGCCTGCTGACGTACTCCTCGAGCGACGCCGCCTGACGCGTGTCCTCCTTGACCCTGGCGGCGAGGAAGGCGGGCGAGAACCTCTTGACGTCGAACTCGCTGCCCCCCCTGTCGGTCAGGACGCGTCCGCCAGCTCTGAGGCCCCAGCCGACCCGCCCTAGCGTGAGCACCAGCGCCGAGACGGGGTCGCGCACCGCGGCCCACGGCCTCTGCAGCGAGGCCAGTCGGCTGCTGTCCCTGAGGCAGGCCTGCACGGCGGCAGGGGAGGCCTGGCCAGACCAGCTCATGGCCACGAATGCCTGGACAGCCAGGCCCGTCGCAATCACCAGCGGATCCTGCCTCCAGCCCTGGGGCGCGCACTGCAAGCAGAAGGTCAGCGCCGCGCCCGTCGGCAGGTTGCAGGCGGCTTTCGCCGCAGCTATCGTGAGCGCCCTCATGCGCCCAGGCGGGACCCCGTTGATGGCCGAGCCCCACAGGGCCTTGGCGGCGGGGCCTGCCCTCTGGATCTTGGCCTGCCTCATCCCCGAGCCGAAGATCCTGGTGAGGTTGTTGCCCTGCCGCAGCGCCGCCAGCTCCCTGGCCACCTGCGTCCCGACCCTGCGGTGGCCGCCCGCCGTCGCATCGCCTCCAAGGTCGCGGTGGCCAGCGACGAAGGCTTCGTCGGCGAGGACCCAGTCGGCGTGCTGCTGCAGCTCTCTCTTCAGCCTCACCGAGGAGGCCAGTGCCTTGGTCTTTCCCCAGTTGATGGGGAGCCGCTTGTCGCCCAGCATGGTGGCGACGCCCTTCGCGAACCTGGCGATCTGCTCGACGACCAGCCTGCGCGTGCCGATGCCGTGGCCCGAGATGTCGTCAATCACGTTGACCACCCTGCCAATCGGCAGCAGCTTCCTCGACTTCAGCAGGAGGTCGTACAGCATGATCCTCGCCATCGTCGTCGCACAGGAGCATCCAGCAATGACGGTGTCGTCGATGACCAGCTGCTCGCTGAGGGCTAGGTCGGCCCTGGCCCTGCGGGGGCCCGAGTACAGCACGCACAGCGCCTGGATCAACCCAGTGTTGAAATCGCAGCCCCGCGCCGCTTCGAGGAGCAGCCCGTGGCTGATCTGCTCGTAGAACTTGCTGATGTCGAAGTAGACCGACGCAGCCTCGAAGTTCTTCTCGCGCGCCAGGCCGAGCAGGAGGTTGTGGATGTAGGCCGCCCTGTCGCAGCAGGTGTCCGAGTCTGCCCCCCAATATTCGGGGAGCTTGTGGTCCCGCTCCCAGCCCGCGCAGTACTTGCGCCTGATGCGGCTCCAGATGCGCAGCCACATGCAGAGGGGCCCGATCGGGCGGCGGCCCCCGTCGGGCTTCCCCAAGAAGACGATGATCGTGGTGAAAAGCTCCGACGGCTGGGGGTGCCGTTCCCAGGCGGTCAAGATCTCAGCCAGCCTGGCCGCGTACACCCTGCCTAAGCTGAGGATGAGCCTGGGGTGGAAGGCGTCCCATCCCAGAGCCGTCTTCCTGGGAAAGGTCTTAGCCGCTGCCGGCACATCCTCCGCCGTGATGGCGTCCAGACCCATGGGCTCGTCCCAGTTCTCGGGGCGGACGCTGGCGGAGCCCTCCTTGTGCCAGAGCGCCTTCCACTCCTGAAGGATCTTGTCCAGGGCCTGCTGCCCGACCAGCGGGACTGGGGGGGGGCCTCGCCCTCGCCAGGGCCGAGGATGGAGCAGGTCTCGAGGTTGGCCTGCTTGCTGATCGCGTGGGCGCCCTTGCCGTTCCCACTGAGGGCCTCGGCCATGAAGTCCTGCCAGCGCTGCCTGGCGGGCTTCGCGCCCTCCCTGCGCTTGACCTCAGAGGCGGCGCCGATGGCCTGGAGGAAGATGTCGCCCTGCTGCGACCTGTCCGAGATCTCCGCCAGCATCGCCGCCATCTTGGTGCCGCCGAACATCTCGCAGCCCCCTGCCTCAAACTTGGGGACCAAGCCTAGGGCGGCCGCCTGCAGACGCTTGACGTGCTTGTGGTGCCCAGGCGAGGGGTGGGGCACAGACGCCGCGGCCGCCAGCTGAGTGGCCAGGCGCCCCAAGGTGATCCAGCAGCGCGTTAGCGGGCTGGTCCTGCGCACCTCCTCCGAGCGCAGGAGGTGAATGAGCTGCTTGGGTGCCCTCTTGAGTCCCTGCGCCCTGCCTCTGTACTTGGCGCCGTCCTTGATGCCGAAGAGGTGTATCAGGCGCTCCTCAGCCTGGTCGAAGAACTCAATGATCGCCTTGTTTGGGCCCCCACTCTCGTCCTGAAGCGGCGCCTTCCAGTCCGTCAGCGAGTCCTCCTCCTCTGGCTCTGGATGGATCCCCTCCTGCTTAGGCGCAGGCAGCTCGAAAGGCTTGGGGCCCTTCTGCACCCAGACACCTGCCTGGCTGCTCAGCTTCTCGAAAGTGAGCCTGACGGGGGCGTGCGGGCGCGTAGTCGCCTGTCTGAGCACCGTCACCTTCGGCCCTAGCCCCGCCAAGACGTCCGAGATCACGAAGAAGTCGTATGTGCCACCTCCGCAGGTCGGCTCGTCGGGCGCCACTATCACCGCCCCCACCGCGCGAGGCCACCACGAGCTGCTGAGGAGGCTGGGCTCCAAGTTCCAGTCCGCCCCCACTACGAGGGGTTCCCGCAAACCCAGGAGGAAACCCTGCAGCTCACTCAAGAGGTCCACGTTGGCCTCATTGAGCTTGACCGAGCACTGCAGGTAAAGGCTGACGCACGCCACGACCAGGTCCCCGAAGGCGACGCGCCTCGCCACGATCCTTGAGGCGTGCTGGCCCCAGACCTGGTCGATCGAGGCCACTCCGCGGTGCTCACCGACCAGCACGGCGACCCCCGAAGAGACGGCTTGGACCGCCGTCCCTGTGCTGCGGCACTCTCCGAAGGCCGCGTTGATGCCGTTCCGCTTGCACCAGGCACGGGCCGAGCCTTCAGCCAACGCCGAGGTGAAGCGGGTCTCCTGGATGAGGTACGCGTCGTCCCTGACCTTCTCGCCCAGCAGCTGCTCGAGGGCCGTCTGGGACTCGGCCCAAGTGGAGCCGTTGATGCTGAGAAAGCTGGCGCCCTGCTGCGCCGAAGGCCGCGCCAGCTTGGCCAGCTGGAGCAAGGCGGCCGCGGCGGGCACCGCCGCGCCTGCCGCCTCAGCCCTGGGCTGGGGGCGGCGCTTCGCCGTGCAGACGAGGTCCAAGGGGGGGCTCGCGCCCGAGTCTGTAGCCACGTCATCCTGAAAGGGCAACCCACGATTACATATGGGCCCTCGGCTAGACTGCGGACTGCCAGTCCCTTGGCCACGCTGCTCCTCCTGGCTCCCGTTGGGCCTGGGGTCAAAGGTGCCGAGTCCGCTTGCCTGCAGCCCAGAGCGCGTCCAAGGCGTCGCGCAGCTTGCGCTTGGCCTCATCTCGCTGCTCGGGGGTCGCTTCTCGGAGGGCTGCTGAGGCTGCGGCGTACTCCTCGCGCTTCGCCTCCCAGCCTTCTCCTCCCAGCAGCTCCATGTCGATGTCGTCTGATTCTGGCACTGGTTTGTGCTCGCCGCCTGCGTCTGCCTCCCCAGCAGCAGGACCAGGAGGAGCAGCAGCGGCCCTGGCAGCGGCAGCTGCCTTCTTGCTGTCGCTGGCTGCGGTCTGCAAGCGGGCCAGGACCGCGAGGGCGTCCTTGGCCTCCTGGCTGGCGGCGACGTCTTCGTCCAGTCCAGCTGCGACTGCCAGAATCGGGTCGGGGAACTCGCTGGCCTGCAGCTTGACCAACTTGGCCTCCCCCTCGGAGAGCTTCTGGTTCTCGTCGCCGAGCAAGACCCTGAGCTCCTGGAGCTCCATGTCGAGTGCGGCCTGCTGCTCCAAGATGGCGGCCCCGCGGGACTCGAGCTTCTTGATCTTGTCGCGCATGGCCTTGACCCGCCAGCGCTGCGTCTGAGCAGTAGGCTGTTTGCTCTCGAGCGTCTTCGACTCCGCAGCCTTCTCTGCCTCCTCCACCGCGCTGGTGTCAAGCCCCTCCTTCGCCAAGAAGGTGCGCACGTCCTTGAAGGAGATGCCAGCACTCGCCTCGGCAGCCTTCCTGGGCGGGGGCTTGCGCCCCTTCCAGGGCTCCGTCGGGGGCAGGGCCTCGCCCTTGAGCTCTGCCACCTGCTTCTGCAACTGCTGCAGCTGCTCCAGAAGCTGTCCCTGTCCTGGCGGGCCCTGCGCCCAGGCCCCGCGCGGGCGAGACGTGCTGGGTGCTGGCCCGTTGGCTGCTGCTGGAACTCCCATCGAGGAGTGGCCATGGGCATCACCGTCGCCCTCATTGGATAAGGAACCCTGCAGGGCCTGAGGCCTCCTGGACACATTCCTTAACCAACGCCTCCACCGTACGCAATTTCGGGGTGAATCGGGCAAGCACGTGCCTGATAATCATCGTCCCTCTCCTGAGCTGGCAAGATCCGCGACCTGTGGTCGTGAGTGGAGGATGGGGATCAGGAGCGGGAAGAGGAGGAGAGTAGAATGAGGAGGAAAGAGGAGGGAAGGGCTTCGGCTGGCGACCTGCTTCAACACCGTCGCCAGCGTCCATATCACGGCTACGAGGCAGATGCACGCGACACCGGTCAACCACAGGACCTCAGGGCAAGCCCAAACAGAGAGACACTGCAGCTTCTAGGATTTGGACAGAGGAGGGTGGATCAGGATAACAAGCATGATGAGGGAGAGATGGATGGGAACCAGGCTGATGACGAAGATTTCGATTATGATGGTACAAGGGATGATGATGCCGCTGATGCTGATGCTGATGCTGATGCTGATGCTGCTGCTGCTGCTGATGATGATGATGATTATGATGATGATTATGATGATGAGGATGAGCGGGAAGCTGGGCATGGCAAGGAGGAGGATCAGGATGAGTAGCAGCAGGATGGGGGAGGCGAAGGAGAATGAAGAGAAGGAGGAGGAGGAGGAGGAGGAGGAGGAGGAGGGGGGGGGAGGAGGAGGAGTACGTACGAGGATTAGCGCTAGGATAATAATCGAGATGAGGGGTGGGAGGGAAGATGAAGAGAAGGACGAACAAGCGGAGGAGGACAAGGGAAGATGATGAGAACAATAATAAGGGATGAAGGAAAGAGGATAGGAGAGTAAGGGAAAGGGGATGGGCAGGTGACGGGGGAGGGTAGGGGCGAAGAGAGGGAGAACGACGAGGATGAGGATGGGGCAACGACGCGAATGAGGGTGAGAACGATGATGATGCTGATGATGATTATGATGCTGCTGCTGATGATGATGCTGGTGATGATAATGCTGATGCTGATGCTGCTGGTGATGCTGGTGATGATGATGCTGCTGGTGGTGCTGCTGCTGCTGCTGATGATGATGCTGATGATGCTGATGATGATGATGATGATGGCAATGGTGGTGCTGCTGCTGCTGCTGATGATGATGATGATGATGATGATAATGAGGGTGATGATGCTGCTGATGATAACTATGATGATGCTGCTGATGATAATGCTGATGATCATGTTGATTCTGATGATGGCGATAGTGATGCTAATGATGATGGTAATGATGATGCTGCTGATGCTGCTGATGATGCTGCTGATGATGCTGCTGATGATGATTAAATTATGAGGGCGACGAGGGTGATGATGATGATCATGCCAATGACAGTGGCGACGATGGTGGAGTTGATAGTGCTGATTCTGTCTGATCTGGTTATGATGAGAAAGGAGGAAAGACAACGCAGAAAGAGGGTGCTGGTGATGACAGTGATGGTTATGATGTGGGGACGTGGGGAAATTTGAACAGGGGTAGGATGAGCAAGATGAGGATAAGATAAGAAATCGCAAGAGGTGAGTTTAGCTGGAAATGGATGACAACCAGGAACAGGAATTGGAAGGGGAAACGGAGGGGATGAGGAGGATGATGAGGAGGAGGAGGAGGCGGAGGAAGAGGATGAGGAGGCGGAGAAGGAGGATAAGGAGCGCTGAGCAGGAGGGAGGAGGTGGAAGTTGTGGGCGGGCGGTGTCGGGGCGGCAAGCACTCCCTCTTCTCCCCCTGCTCCTCCTTCCCTTCCACCATCCCTCGCTTCTCCTCCGCCCTGCTCCCCCGCCCTGCTCCGCCCCCACCTCCCCACTGCTCTCCCATGCTACTCCCCCCCCCTCTCTCTCTTTCCCTCTCTGTCTCCTCCTCCTCCTCCTCCTCCTCCTCCTCCTCCTCCTCCTCCTCCTCCTCCCCCTCCCTCCCTCCTCCGCCTCCTCCGCCTCCGCCTCCGGCTCCTCATCATCCTTTATCCTCCTCTCTCCATGTCTTTTACCGTCGTTCCTCCCTCCCCCCCCCCTCCCTCCCTCCTCTTCCTCTCTCTCTCTCTCTGTTTTTTTTCTCTCTCTCTCTCTCTCTTTCTCTTTCTCTCTCTCTCTCTCTCTCTCCTGAGCAAGGGTCCCCCCCTGGGCTCCCGTGGTTGAGCGCATCCGGAAGACCGTGCGCCTGGCCATTGCCCCCAAAGTGGCGCCGCGGCGGCCCCGCCGCAGTGCGGCCCGGGCCTCCCCCCCTTGGGGGCGTGACGCCACCCAGAAGGTTGGGCCGAAATCTCATCGCGAGTGGGGCGCCTGAGAAAGAGGGGAGGGAGGAGAGGGGGACAAGCTTGGTGCGCTCGCGTCATATCTGACGTCCTACCCCTCCCTCCCATCCCTTACCATGGCGTAGATCTCCTCTCCATTCACACAGTCGGATGTCGAGCAGGGCAGTGATTGCGAGAGGGTGCGCGATGCATCGTCGAGCACGGCATGGCATGTCGTAAACGAGCACGGCAGAACGTAGACTGTCATAGCATGGCGTGGCATTGCGTTGTGAAGCATTGCATCACAAAGCATTGCAACGCAAAGCTTGGCATCGCACAGTGGCGCAGAATAAAGGGGAGGGGAGGGGGAGGTGTTTTGTCCCCCACAGAGTCTTAGCACTGGCTCTCATTCTGTCATCTAAGGAAACTGAGCCTTACCGTCGATCTGGAGGCTGTGTTGTCGCCGTCGCCGCCGCGTCGCCGCCTCAACGCAGCGCGAGTGGGACGCCCGATGTTTCCCCCCCGGGTGAAAGACGAAACTCAAGATTAACAAAATCAGCAACCCGATAAGGAAGGGGTCAGAACATACGGCTTTTACAGAAGATACGGCTTTTACAGATGTGTATCTGCGTGGTGCCCTGCCAGGAATGTCTTGGCAGGATATAGGTCGAGGCTGGAACGAAACATGTGCAATGGACGAGCCTGGCAGCGGGGGAGAGATGAGGGAGGAGTTTTTGTTTGTTTGTTTTTACGGGGAGATGGGGCGCGTTGGAGCTCATCGTGGGAGCGGGGAGGGGGGGGCAAGTAGGAGGTATTCCTGGGTCCTTGGGTGAGCCCCGCGCGCTCCCCAAGAGGGCACGTTGTCAAGGCAAAACGAGCCGACCGACGACGACGAACGACCACGACGACGAAGGCACCGACAAGATGGAAGGAGGGGGATGAGCGGGAGAGAGACGAGGGGGGGAGGGGGAGAGTGTGGGGGGAATAATGGGGAAAGGACATGGAGAGGAGGGCCACCGCATGTTGCATAAGATCGTCCATGAAAGGTTGGCTCGAGCTGGCAGTCTTCCTTCTCACGCAGTGGAAGTCAATAACGCCACGGCGAATTCCGATCACTTTCCCCTCTATGTTTCCCACTCCCTTTCTCCACGTTTCGTGCACGCACCATATGGGGGAGATTGCCGGCTCTCTTTAGAACATCTTCCCTTGGAAGATTTCCAATGCTTGCCATGTTACTCCTTACCTCCTCCTTCCGCTCCCTGCCCCTGGTCTCGTCACTTCGAAGTGCTTGCATTCTCCGGCGGGTCGAACTTTGCGGCGATGTCTTGGACGCCTCCGTGCAAGTGCACCTTCCCGCATATGACGACCGCTTCGTGCCCGAACGCCGCAGAACGTTAAACGGCGGGAGAGATGGCAACGATCACTAATTAGAGCGCTGAGCGATGACGATGCGGCTTTCCTCGACTTCGGGCTCAAGCCGTGGGGACAAGGCGCGCGCGGCGCCTGCAAATGCCGAGGTCACTGGTGCGCGCTTGTCGGAAGCGCAGCACCCGCAGCGACCCGAAGGCTCGCTCCACGGCGCGGCTGCACTCATAGCTCCAGCTCGCCCATGCTTCCGAACGGAAAGTCCATCTGGCCCGACAGCGTCGGCGGGATGAGCGCGTCCACCTCGACGTCCATGGGCTTGCCCATCTCCTCCCTGTCCACCGCGAGCAGGGCCTCGGCCGCGTTGCCGCCCAGGGGCAGGGCCTCGCAGTCTGGGCCCGCGCGCGCGACGTGCATCGCCCGCTCCTCGCGGTCGAAGGTGGTGTGGAAGTAGCGGAAGAAGGGCATGCCCAGGATCCAGACGGGGCCGTGCTGCGACATCATGTCGATCTGCATGAACGCCGGCATGCACATGTCGACCCTGCGGATGCTGGGCTTGAAGAAGAGCACGTCCCAGATGTCGTTCGCCTCCATGACCGCACCGGTGACCCTCATCACGTAGGCCTGCGGTTAAGTCGGGCGTGTCCCCCTACACGGGGATTTTGGATGAAAAACAAAGAAACACTCCAAAATGATCAAGAATTTTCAAAAATAGTCAAAAAATCGTGCCCAGACTATTTTCCAACTATTTTTGAATTTTCCCCCTGTAGAGGGACAGGCCCGATTTGAGCCTGCGGGGGCAGCTCGAGGGCATGCCCGTCGATCGTGAACCTCAGCATGGGGAGGGCTTCCAGGTTGGAGCAGTCCTGCTTGATCTCGGGGATCTGCTCGCTGAGCGCCATGAGCGCGAGGCCAGGGGCCGCGATGAGGGACGTGCCGCTGTCCAGGATCGCGGCGCACGGCTGGCTGGCGTCGCAGAGCGCCTGCGGGCCGCCCGGGGAGCTGAACGACACGCCGCTCAGAGGCGTGACCCAGTGGTGCTGGCCGATGACGCGCGCGGTGACGCGACCCGTCTTCTCGATGGGGGCACCCCAGGTCAAGTAGCCCTCCGAGCCGCTGGGCTTGCGCAGGCAGATGGAGAATGACGTGATTCCATAGTTCATGAGCAGCGTCTTCTCAGAGTTCTGCGCCGCGAAATTCGGGCCGATGCCGACGATCGCCGCGAATTTCGCTGTGTTCAGAACCTGGATGCGGTGGTCGACAATCTCCCAGAACGCCTGGCCTTCGGCCTTCAAGACCGGGCCCACGGAGACCGTTTCGTAGCCCATCATCGACACGCAAGGCCCAGATCCGAACACGTGTTTCGCCATGGTGCCGTTCTTGCTGTAGCTCTTGCTCTTGTCGTGCGTGTAAGGCGGAGTCGGATGGACGCACTGCGCGCATCTCGACGACCTTGCGAGGAGCAGCAACAAGGGAGAAAGAAGACGGAGGAAGATGAGAAGGTCGAGGAGGATGACGGGGATGTGCGCGATGAGAACGAAGCGGAAGAGGGCGACCTCACGAGCAGTTCAAATGAGCCCGTGTCGAAGATGCCCGATATGCTCTGCCCTCCGATGTCGAAGTCCGCGAAGTACTGCACCTTACAGGTCCCACCCTAATCTGGGCTGTTCTGCAGCATGACCCCGATCCTGACACGTGCCGCGGAGCACCCAGGCCATTGATGGGGACAGCGTGAGTGGCTCGGATTGGGGCCCCAGCGTCTCTGCACCCACGCAGCGGAAGGCATGCCCTTCCAGACGCTCAATGCTTAAATTCGGTCTCGGGCGCTGACTGCTTACCTTACCTCGATCTCGTGATCATTTACATCCTCATGTGCACGTGATGTCATATACACAGCAGGGACAGCCCCCGAATCCGATCGATCAACGGATCGGCTCGATCGGCGGATCAGGGCCCTCTGGGCACCACGCGTTCTGGTAATTGTGAAGAGTCTGCTTATAAACTCTGCTGCCGTGCTGTCGCAGCAGACGCCCGCAGTGGCTCAGGCGAGCACCCGACACCGCCAACAGAGCCGCCAAGAGCCGCCGCAGCATCAGCGGGGCATCCGCCTGCATTGCGTCGAGGAGTGGGGGGGCAGGGCGCGCCCGAAAAGCTGGGGCTCAATGGCGCGCCAATGCGCTCGAGACGAGACAGCGACAGCCAAGAGCACCAGCTTGCAGACCCGGAGCTGGAGCCGCCGAGCAGCGTCGCAACGCCGCACCGAGGCTCACAACAGGTGGAAACGGTCTCATCACCAAGGCTCGGCCTCCAGAGGTCCCCCTCTGGCCGCAGGGCTGGGTGCATCCAGTGTTCCCAAACTCCGGACTCATACGTCTGGGAATGGCGGTCTACTCCAGATAGCGCCCGAACAAGTTCAAGCTAGAACCACCACGCGCTTTGCGTGCGCGCTCAAATCCTACGTGGCTCAGGGGCCAGCGTATAACGCGGGAGCGGGACCGTGCACGAAGAAACGGGCACCGTGAGCTTCCAAGTCAACGCGTTCGTTGCTGCCTGTGCGATTCGGGTACGTGCTCGGGTTCGGGCGGGGGATGTACGAACATTGCAAGTTAGAACATATTCCATCCAGCTGCTGCACCTCCCCGTCTCGGCACTTCCCCTCAGCCAGATAGGGGAGGAGGAATGGGGGTGGGGAGGCATGGGGCGGAGGAGGGGAGGGGGGAGGGGGGAAGAGGAGGAAGGAGGGAGGACAAGCAAGAGGGGAAGGGTGAAGAGGAAATAATAATAATAATAGACAATATTAATATCAATAATACTAGCAATAATAATAATTATAGTAATATTAATAATAAACATAATAATAATACTAATAATAATGTTAATCATACTCACAAACACAAGAAGAATACTACTAACAACAATAATAAGAAAAGCAGGATGAAGAGGAAGAGAGATAATGAGTTTGACGATGAGGATGACGACGCGGAGTAACATACTGATGGCGACTAGGAAGGAGACGGAAGACGAGCAAGGACGATGATGACGATGAGGATGATGGCAAGAGAGGAACGAGTCATGGGGATGGGTGGGTGGTGTGTTTCTCCTGTTTTTCCTTTCATGCTTCTCCTCATCCACTCCTTCAGCGACCCTTCCTCAGCATAATCCATGGTGGGACTCCTGGCCGGCCATCTCTAGGCAATATTGGGGCCCTGTGGGCCCGTGGTGGGATCCTCTTGGGGCATTTCGCAGCCATGCTCGGGCTCCGCACGAGCCCTCTTGTGGGGCTATATCGGAGCCTTCTCGGGGTATCTCAGGGCGCTTGTGGGCCGTCGTGGGGCTGTCTTGCGCTATCTCCGGGCCTTATACGGCCGTCTCTGGTTCATCCAAAACAGCTCTCTGCGGCTCTCTTGTTGCTCTCTTGGGCGCTCGTTGGCTCTTCCGAGGTCCACTTGGAGCTACGTTTATTATTCTTATTCGAGAAGTTTAGAAGCCCTTCTGGCACATCTTGGAAGACACCCCGGCCACCTCGCGGCCCTTGGATTCTCGCGGTGAGCCCTGTGGGCTCGTGTAGGTCCTCTTGGGGAATTCTTGCGGCCTGTTGGGGCCGTCTTAGAGCCATCATGGGCCCTCTTGGGCCTGCGAAAAGCCATATTGGAGCTTCTTTGAGACATCTCGAAGCGTCTCGGCCGTCTCCGGGTCCTCTTGAGCCACCTTGGGCTCCTTCAAAACTATCTGCGGTTCTCTTGGGGATCTCGTGAGGCAGTCCTCGGCCATCTTGGGAGCTTCTTGGATCTCTCTTGTGCGATCTATGGTACCTCCCAGGTCCTACAGGAGCCATGATACATCGAGACACGAGAAACCACAGCATTATTCTAAAGCAGCAAGGATTCGTGGGTGTTTGACTGGTCGTAGCAGTCTGAGGGTCCTCTTGTAGGGGCCTCCTAGATGGGGTCCGAGTAGATGGGGTCCGAGGATCGCGCCGCATTGCCGATGCATGGGCGATGAATCGGCGATGCATCGCCCATGCACCGGCGATGCATCGTCGACGCCAGCGATGCATCGGCGACGCCAGCGTGGAGAATATCGGATATCGGGCTCCGCATCGCGCCGCATCGCCGATGCATCGGCGATGCGGCGCGATGCATCGGCGATGCGGCGCGATCCTCCGACCCCATATAGGAGGCCTAGATATTGGGCTCTTCGGGTCCTCTTGTGGCCTCTTCGGCCCCTCTTTGAGGAGCCATGTTGGACCCTCGGGGCCAAGCTTCGCGCACACGAAAAGAGAAGTCGGAGACAGGCTGACCCCGGCTGGCCACGCAGCAGCTCCCAGAGGAGGGCGGAGAAGGGGGGGGGTGCTCGATCTGCTCCACGTGGTGCCCAAACTCCGGCCAGCCAGAGGGGCTCAGAGGGCGTTGGCCAAACCCCACTTCGGGCTGCCCCCCGCGGACATGGGCTTAGGTCGGACATATCCTCCTACAGGCGGATTTTGGTGCCCCTGGCCGTCCGCCGGCCGATGCCGACCCAAACAGGCGACATCCTGTTTTTTTCTGTGCGGCGTCCCTGGCGTGTATGGCCAGGAGATGCGAGGAGCAAGGGAGGGTCTCCCTGGTGGTGTTTCCCCCCCTCTCGCTCGAGACATCCCCAGCCGCCAGCTCGGGGAGGCGTCATGGACCACCTCGCTGGAGGTGGCCCCCCTGGTGGTGTTGTCTCCCTGGTGGTGTGGTCCCCCCCTCTCGCTCGAGACATCCCCAGCCTCCAGCTCGGGGATACATCGCGGACCACCTCGTTGGAGGTGGCCCCCTGGTGGTGTTGGCGTCGCGTCTCCTTCTTCCGAGCGATCATGTCTGGGGAGGCTCCCGCCTCTCGGAGCGGCCCGCACTCGCGGCGACGCGCCCCTTGCCGCGCCCCTTCTGGGAGCGCCCCGGAGCACTGCCGCGAGGTCCAGCGGCGCGGTCGCTGCGCCCACTGCTGCCAGCCTGTGATGCACGGTTTCCCCCGGGGCCGTAGGCGACACGAGGAGAAGGAGGAGGAGGAGGAGGAGGAGGAGGAGGAGGAGGAGGAGGAGGAGGAGGAGGAGGAGGAGGAGGAGGAGGAGGAGGGGGAGGGGGAGGAGGAGGAGGCAAGTTAGGTGCGCTCGCGTCAACATCTGACATCCTACCCCTCCCTCCCATCCCTTACCATGGCGCTGATTTTCTCTATCCGCGGACGCGTGTCGTAGCGGACCTGTGGCTCCGCGCGCGTGTGCGTAGTGGGTGGTGGTGCGCGTGCGTGCGTGCGTGTGTGCGTGGTTGTGGTTGTTGTGGTGGTGGTGTGTGTGTGTGTGTGTGTGTGTGCGTGTGTGCGCGTGTGCTGTGGTGTGACGTGGTGTGGCGTCTTGGTGGTTTGGTGGTGGGCCAGGTGCGTACGTGCGTGATGGCGGTGGTGGTGGTGGTGGCGGTGGTGGTGTGTGTGTGTGTGTGTCTGTGTGTGTGTGTGTGCGTGTGTGTGTGTGCGTGCGTGTGTGTGTGTGTGTGTGTGTGTGTGTGTGTGTGTGTGTGCGTGCGTGCGTGCGTGCGTGCGTGCGTGCGTGCGTGCGTGCGTGCGTGCGTGCGTGCGTGCGTGTGTGTGTCTGTGTGTGCGCGCGTGTGATGTGGTGTGACGCGGTGTAGCGTGGTGGTGGTGGGTGGGGTAGTGCGGTGGTGGTGGCGGTGCGCGGTGGTGGTGCGCGTGCGTGCGTGCGTGCGTTGGTGGGTGGAAGTGGCGGTGGGTGTGCGTGCGGCGGGGCGGGGCGTGGTGCGGCGCGGTGGTGGCGGGCGGATGGGCGCGCGAGAAAGAGGCCCGCGCTGGGGCGAGAACGCCATCCTGAACGACGGAGGCAAAACACCGATCCGAAAATGAGGCCCACGCTGCAGCGGGAGCACGATTCGGAACGATTCGGGAGCAGAAATGAGGCCGGCGCCTCAGCGAGAGCAGCATTTTGAAAAAAACGCAGGCGAAAACCCAACTCCGGGGAATCGTGTGTGTGTAAAAAACAGTACGCGGGGGGGGGGGGGCGAATACGCAAAAGACGTCATCAGGGGAAGAGGGAGAGTAGTATTCATATTGTGTAATTGTATATGGAGGAGGGAGGAGGGAGGAGGGAGGAGGGAGGAGGAGGAGGAGGAGGAGGAGGAGGAGGAACAGGAGGAGGAGGAAGGAGGAATTACAGGAATTACAGCCTTCGCGTAGCGAAAAAATAAAATCCACCACTCAAGCATTGCTCGAGACAGGTTACTTGCCCTTGGGAAACTCGTCACGCCGAATTCGGTCGAGATGCTCCTGAGGAACTTTGGAAGTAGGCAGCTTGCAAGCGGATCCTAATCCCCGAAGTCGGGATTGTCCTATACATCCGCACACGCTGCAATACCGTATTCCTAACGCATGATGGAACACTAGGGCGTGAGAGGGGTGGGCCCAACCACAAGCGATATGCATACGACACCCCCGTTTCACCCGCGAAACTCTACCGTCCATAGAAACTAAACCATTGTACTTTTTTAAACCATTCGGACAGAGTGGCTAGCGACGCAGACCCATGACACACTGTACACGTTTTGCCATTATCAGCCAGTGTGTGTGCGGTCGCGAAGCGAGCAACAATGGAGGGAGCGGGAGGAGGCGGCCGCGGCGGCGGAGGACAGGAGGAAGAGGTGGGCTGACTCTCCCCGCCTCGAATCCGCAAGGCGTTGTTCGCCTTCTGCTCAGACTCGAAACGGATCGCGCACAGGGCGGCTCTGAGCAGCCGCCGTCGTACATGGAGGGCCTTCCTCTCCACCATCAAAACACGATGCCTGTCCTCTTCTGGCACTCGGGCAGCTCTGGCTGCCTCGCCTGCCAGCTCATCCACTGCTTGGTTGTCTTGCACCATCCAACTGGGGAGTCTTCTGGTGCATGCTTCCCTCGCCTCCACATGACACGGTATCTGCGTGACTACAATGTCTGAGGCTGGCATTCTCTGCTCGTCCAAGTGACGGCCGATAAGCCTCCACAAGCCTGCATGACATCCTTGGGGGTGGCGGAAAAGCTGAGCCCACCACCCCCTACACACTTCGGAACAATCTGTAATGAAACTCAAAACTCCTGTCGTGCAGCGAATGGCGAGCTCGAGGGCCGCGGGCTCGCCCTTGGGCGCAGTCTGCACTCCTCCTACGAGGGGCCCAAACAGATACGGCCCGATCGTGAAAAGGCGTGAAAGAAGAAACCACACAGACTGCGAGTCCCACACGCCGCAAACGTACATCGTGAGTATATGGGCCCCCTGAGGCGTCACCGAACATGTAGATCGGCTGCCCAGGTGTCCCGTGGCCTAAGCAGGCCCTGTCATTGAACATTTTACCTCCTGACCAAAACTCAACTGCTCTAGGTGCTGGAACCTGGGTCCATCCTGCTGGGATGATCCCTCTGCCCCAGAAACATGCGTGAGCTTCGTGATCTGCCACTGCTGCTGGCATGAGGTGCTCCGGCTGCTGGAAAGCCTTCCCCTCGCTATTACATGGACATAACCAATTCCTGTGAAGATCAGACTCGGGAGCTTCCCCACACCTGTCACATGTGTCATTCGAACCGATATTGACGCTGAACTTGCGGACCTTGGTCCACGCACCTCCAACCGCAATCGACACCATAAGCTCCGCAAATTGTCGCTCCTTGTGTACGTGCTGGGGGTTCTCGATAACCTGCGTAAACTAAGGAGATCGGCGCCCCCTTCTAATCCGCTGCCTCCGTGTAGTTCTGATGCTTGTCGCCACTGCCGCAGAGCAAATGACCCCTCAAACTCCCGAAGTAAGTCGTCCGCCTGATCCAGCGCGCTCAAGGCTTGGTCGTCGAAAATCCACGCATGAAGCCCTTGCCCGTCGTCGCTCGGAGGTCCCCGCTCAGAAGGAGATAAAAGGGTTCCAGCCAGCCTGCAACACATAGCCAATCACCGTTGACACTGGGCCGCGAATGTGTCGAGAGCGCTGAACCTCAGGCAACAATCGAAACTGCTGAAGAATCTGAGGCCACACTCGGTAAACGCCTGCTCTAATCGAAGGTTCCGTAACCCACACCTGCAGCCGCTGAGAGAGGCACTGGCGAGGAATAACGATGCCTGGGTCTGCGTGAGCTGCACGTGACCCAATCCGTGTCGCGGCGCACCGACCTCGCCGCGCTGCTCCTGATCCTGCTCCAAGACGTCTCCGTCGAAGCCCCATAGCACTGCCGAATTTTCCGTATATCTGATGGCCGTAAGTCGCTACAGCCTGAGGACCAGCTCTCTCTATACGAGATGTGATCCTATACCGTCGTGCCGCTGCCACCATCCTTCTCAACTTGTGATGCTGGTGGCCTGCCTTGATCACCCTCTTTCTTGCTGTCTCACGAGCATGCCGCACTCCACTGCTCATGCCGGCGCCACGATATGCCGACTGCAGCGCCACGGTGATATGAATACCCCGACGCCGCAATGTCCGACCTACCGCCTTAGCGTCGACGTGTGATGAGCATGTCACCACACTCTTCGCCGCGATGGTCAAGGACACCTTCTTGAACTTCCCAACCGTGTCTGTGATGCTCGCAAGTAGGTCACGTTTGGCCTGCCTGCGCGATCCCACTGTCCTCTAAGCCAAATCGTCGATCCAGATCCGTTCAGACACCCTGCGGCGTGCGATGCACAACTCCTGCAGCACAAAAGATGCAAGGCATCGCCCGAAGCGAACTCCGCTCCTGATGCCCTGGATAATCCCTCTTGTGCCCTGGGAAAGTAAGGAAAATAATTGAACCGTGATAAAACTCGTGGCATCACGCATGTCTGCATCTCGAGACTCAGCACCACGGGAGGAAAATATAGTAGTAGTGCTGTGTCCGCTAGCACCGAATACTCAATACTGTCGTAAAAACGCTTCCAGATCTATGAGAGCCCCCCTTTGAGCGATGTTCATGCGAGCACGCGCTTCGGAATTGAGGGAGCGCGCCAGAGCACTATTGCCTGCCACTGCTGCGCCCCAATGCGGTGCTGACTGCGCCGCCCACGCGCGCATCTGATCCTCACGTGCAAGGCTCCGCAAACGATTGAACATTGATATGAGTCCTATGATTATGTCCCCCCCTGGCTTTTTCCCCAAACAATTTGCCGATCGTGGCCAAAATCTGCCATGGCCATGTTAACCCTTCTTCGATAAGAAAGTAACTTTGACATAACTGTTCCAATCCTGCGTCGGGCAGGCGCTCGAAGTCCAACGGGGACATCTGGTCGCGCCCGAGGCCTGTCTTCGGCTCCATACGCGCCAGAGCGCGCCGGAGATCGGAGACTGTCAACGGCTCCAGCTGCTCAACCGAGGCCTGTTGTCTGATAGGGTACAGTGCGTCTAACAAATTTCAGCTCACAAGGAATCTGAACTCCACTTCCGATGTCAGAACTCGACTTTCTTGTCTACTACGTCGATGGGGTGGGCGGCGCACTTTCCTTCGAAATGCAGCTCGTCGGCCTCGACTGGATTCTGCTTGATGCTGCGATGCACCGCCCCCAGAGCGCCTATAGTGCCAATCCATTCTTAACATTCGCGTAAAGACTGGCTTGTCGCTCGAGTCTGTCCTCGCTTTGCGCCCCTCTCCAAGAGTTGACCGAGTGCTGCCAACTGCCCAGCGAGAGGCGATCCAAAACCTTCAGCTGCTCCACTACTTCTGCCCAAGACTCTTTTCCTGGCGTGAAAAGCTCGTGAACTCCAGCTGGGGCGGTGTTGAGCAACTTGATGCTGCTCTCTCCTTCAACTGCTGAACCTGAAGTTTGCCGTCGCTCCGTCGGCGACGCCGTTCCACTCGCCGCGCAACCGTGCGCATTCTCGCCCACCATGGCGCACGAGTGTCTCGCAGAGGCTGATCGCGAACGTGCTCTGCTTGATGTGCCGCACTGGCCCCTTGATATGGTCCTTGGGCTCGTGATCGGCGCGGCGCCGAGAGCCAGTGATGTTCGCTGATACTCCGCTCCACTGCTGTGACCCACGAAGCGCACCGCGAACTGATATGGAGGATGCGTGGCCCAGCTGCTGCGCATGCTAGAGACTCTCGAGCCGCGGGCCAGACATCATCAGGAGAGTGCTTTTGCCAACCGACTTGCGCCCAACGTTTGAGCAAAATTGACTCAGGAACAGCAGGGGGGGGAGAGACGAGAGGCACCAGCATTGGCATTGAAGCTCGGAATAGTGTCATCAACACTCTGACCATCGGGGCTAGGGGTGGTGTCGTCGCTGGGGTCGGTCCAACACTCCCTCGAAATATTGCCCAACTCACCAGCGCCCTCCAGGCGCCCTCCACAACTAGACGCTGCTGCTCCAGAGACTGACCCGACACGGGTCTCAAGCGCTTCGGCCTCGGCCCTGACGGGGTGAAAACAACTCTCCTCGGCCCTGGGATCATCCTCCTCGAAGCCGCTTAAAAACAAGACTAAATCGGGATCCCCCTCCTCCTCGAGGCCGCCGAGCCTAGGGTGCGCGGACGAGGGCCCCGGCGAAGGGACAAGGCAGGGCCCTTCGCCTTCGGCATCCTCATTGCTCGAGCGGCCCAGGAGGAGGTCCGAGAACAGTTCGTGACAGCTTTCGCGGTGCTTGTCGCGGCTCAGAGCTATCTCAGCTGCGCGTTTCTTTTTTGCGACACTCGACTTACTGTCGCAAGCTGCTGGCTGCGACGGGCGAGCGAGCTGAGGCAAGCGAGGTGCGAATGGCATGGTGCGAGCCAAGAGCTGTTCTCCTGAGCTCTTGGAGGCGATGCCCAATCCGCAGCGCGGGGCCCACGGCGCATCCTGCACTGCCGCGGCGTCGCGGATGTAAGGTAAAAAAGTATCACTGGCCACCGCAAAGTCGATGTGCGAATCTCCGCTTCCACCGACCTGTGTGAACTCCACTAGCGCTTTGATGATGTGGCCCTGGGTCTTCTGAAGAACTTGCGATCGCTGGACATCGTGCACGCCAATATTGCAATCTCCTGCCGCCAGCCACGGTCGCTGGAGCGTCCCCAGGAAAGCCCCGAGGCGCGAGTGCCATTGAATGTTGTCGCCATGGCATCCCACAGATGAGTGCCCGTAGAACGTGACTGCGACAAAGGAAAATCTTTTCTGAAGAATAACGACAGGCATCAATCCATCGAGTTCTTCTCCGCCATCAGCGCAGAAGTGAGGGAGATCTTTGCCATTAGCTTGAAGCGATGAATATGTCGATGCCCATGTGCCAGAACGAGTCCCCTCCTTCTTCCGAGCGGGCATTGCCACTAAAATCACCATCACCACTGCAACTCCCCCGATGTCGAGCGCAATTGTCTAAGTACTTGAGATTGAGGCTCCTAGCTTTTCGCGCCCACTCTTGTCGAGTGCGTGCTCCCACATGTGTTTCCACCAGCCCCATGTATTGAAATTGACTAGTACGGTCTCTGTGTGTGAGATACTTCCAAACCTTCGGTCCGGGGGCTGTGACATTCGACAAGAATAGTCGTGATATCTCGTCCCCACTGTCTTCGGTAGCCGAACTCGTGGATGGTGGCTCCGACCTGTCTGGTGACTCCAGGCCAACACCCGAGTTCGCCTCGCAGGCTTGGAGCGGCTCCTCGGCCAGCGGCGCCGCTGCAGCCAGAGCCGTGCTCTGGGGGTCGGCGCGGCCAGCCGCGTGGCCTCAGGCCGAGGCTGCGGCTGGCCCGCTGGCGGGCATCGCCTGCGCCGTCGCCGTCGCTGCCGCTGCTGCTGCGGCCAACTTGGCTGCTGACAGGCGTGCCGCCTCGTTGGCCACCTCCTCCGCCGACGGCGCGCCAGGGTTGCAAGCGGCTGTCGATGCTGCGGGCGCCGCTGCGGCACCCTCATGTGCACTGGCCTGGCCCGTCCCGACGTCCTCGCCGCCGCTGCCGCTGGCCGCCCGAGAGCCGTCGGCTCCTGTGCGGCGCTTCTTGGCCATGCGCTCCTTGACCTGCTGGCCAGCGCCTCGGTCTTCCACTTGGCGATCTCGGTAGCCCTCGATGCCAGTGGCTCCTTTGCCTGCTTCAGCTCCTTCTCAAAAGCGGCGAGCTTGTCCAGCTCGCTCTGCTCGCACTCGAGCGCCCGCAGCTCGTCGAAGAACTGCTCGTCCCAGTGCAGCTCGATGATGTCCTCGGTGCCCTTCTTGGGATGAGAATTCGTCTCGGTGGTGCCGTCGCCAACCTCCTTGGCCAGCGCTGCCACGGCGTGCCTCCGAGCAATCTCAGCCTCTGCCAAGGTGATCGCTGCTTCTTGTTCTCGAGCCTCTGCTCGAGCCAGGTTGTCACGACACCGGAGCACTTGAGCGATGGCTTGATCGTGCTTGGTGCTCGCGTCCCGCCAAGCTCCTGCAGTTTTGCGTAGAACCTCGTCTGCATTCGAGGTCTACGCTGAGGCCAGCGGCGTCGCCTTGCGCGCCTGCGCCAGCTGCTGCTCCAGTATTGCCTTCACTGCTGGGTCCACCGCAACTTTCAGAGCTGTCTCGAAAGCGGTGACGGGGTTGATCGTCTGCTCACCACTTTTTCCTGCGACTGGCGTGACTCCACCCACCAGAGCGGCCTGTGCCAACTTGGGTGGCTTGCTCTTCGGCTGAGAAAGGGCGACCCACGATCCACAAGCTTGACATACACACTGTTTGCTTTCCAGCTTGCTGTTCCACTCGAAACGGCCACAGTTACCGCACTTGCTCCAGGAGTCGGACTTCTGCTGCCCCTGGTCGGCTGCCGCGGTGGCTGCAGCCTTCTTGTTTCCGCTGTTCCGTGCCATCTCACAGGAAGAAACTGCGTCTCTTTAGCCAACCAGCTTAAATCGCCCCAACAACTATCCTCGGTGAATCAAGGAATGCAGAAAGTATGTGGGTGTTGGCGACGGCTGGTGCCCCTCAAGCACCACGTAGGAGGCAGACGCCTGTGCCCAGGCAAAATGCTTGGGCCCAGATGGCTTGAGAGGAGGAGGGAGGAGGAGGAGGGAGGGAGGAGGGAGGAGGGAGGAGGGAGGAGGAGGAGGAGGAGGAGGAGGAGGAGGAGGAGGAGGAGGGAGGAGAGGAGGAGAGGAGGAGGAGGAGGAGGAGGAGGAGGAGGAGGACGGGTCGCCTAAGCCCTTCGGAGAATCCCTCCAGCCTGTGAGCTGGCGGCGCGCGCGGGGCCCTCGACGACGCCGGCAGCGCCCGCTGGGAGCAGCACCTGGCCGTCCACGAAGGTGACCTCGCCACCCCGCAGGTGGTCCAGGAAGCGGTGCCGCCTCCGCAGCTCGTCGGAGAGCGTCTCAGAGCGCGTGCCTCTGAGCATCGTTGAACCGATCCCCATCCCCAGCGGCGTGGCCTGGGCCCCAATGGCTGATTTACCCCCCTTGATGGGGATGGGATATATAGGTTGTTCCCTTCAGGTTTCGAGGGGTGTATCCCCAACTGGGGTGGCAATTTGGTGGGGGTCTCGAAGGGCATGGGGATGGGGATCGGTTGAACGATACCGAGCCTCGAACCCTGACGGTGACCTCGGGCGGCAAGTCGCCCCAGCGCCCGAACCTCGCCAGCAGCTGCTTCGTAACCGCGTTCTCCAGGAACGCCAGCTGCCCATCGTCGCTCTGGTAGAAGTTGATAAGCTCGCCCGTTTCGAATTGCTCCACTCGCTCCGCTGCAGAAGACGACACGTCCCTCTCGGATGCGGCGGTGGCGGAAGGCAGCTGAGCCCTGAGCGCATCCAACGCGCCCTGCGCGAGGGGATCTTGCGGCGCCGCCTCCAGCTCACGGCACTCCGCATGCAGGCGGCTCAGCCGTGCCCCTGGATCGGCGATCACGCGGCGCGCAAGCAACCAGCCAGGCCGGCCCTCAAGCGTTAACGGGTACCTGTACCCAGATAGATCGCAAGATGCAAGCTCCAGCCATAGCCGACTGCGTCGGACCAGCAAGAACCGCCTGTCCGCGCCCTCCTCAAAAGCGTCAATCAGCTCGAAACTCACCGGCCGGAGGTCGTCCAACCGCATGGCGGCGGTGCACACTGGACAGGCGCGCGAGATCTCCATGTGCCGCAGCGCGCACAGCAGACAGAAGGCGTGCCCGCACTCGGTGAGTCTCGGTACCGACGGCTCGTCCTTAGATTTAGGTCGGGCGTGTCCCCCTACAGGCTGATTTTGGACGAAAAATAAAAACTACCCCCCTAAATACTCCAAGAATATTCAAAAATAGTCAAACATCGTCCCCAGACTATTTTTTTGTATAATTTTTGGACATTCCCACTGTAGAGGGACAGGCCCGACTAAACCTTAGATGCTCTGAAACGCTATGGGCGTTTTTTGGTCTTCAAGATCGACGTTGTCTTTCCATTTGGGCGCCTTTTTTGATTCGTGTTCAATTCCTGGATCGGCCCGTGGCCCATCTGCCCGTCTTCTCTCCGTTGTCCGTACATGTGGCATACGCCTTTAGGTATCACAACGCCGCCTGCCTGACGTCCACGTCCCAGGTTGTCGTTTTCAGAACGCCTTGGCGGGGCCAAACGCGAACCCTGGAGAACGGAGCAACAACAACACCCCCAGCGGTTTTGAGTACACCTGAGGGCTCGTCCAGGCAGATCGGGCACGCGGGCGCGGCGAGGCACTGGAAGTCTACGCGCAGCACGTCGCCCCAGCCGCCGTCTGCCACGCCCAGCGCGAGGCGGCACGCACCCTGAACGAACTCGCCCTTCTTCAGGGCCCGCTGCGGCTGCGGGCGCCGCGGCGCGGCCGCGCCCCGCTGCGGCTGGTATGCCGGCTGCTGGCCGAGCAGGCTGTTCGCCGATCGCCGGTGGAGGAAGAGCAGCGACACGAACATGAACTGTTGGCGGTCCGCGCGGGCTTCGTGGCTCTGCGCTGGACTCCCCCGGCGGAGCCTCTGGCGCCGCCCCTGGCACACTCCGCGTACCAGGGAGAGGGAGTCCAGCGCAGGTCCAAGAAACCCGCGCGGACCGTCAACAGTTCATGTCTGTGCAGCTGTTTCTTCTTCGAGCCAG